TCATTCTATGTAAGATTCTATGTAATGATGGAGCCATAAAAATAAAAATAAAAGAAAGTAAGTTTTTGTCACATTGTTTTTTTTTTCTTTATGTCATTACTGTTTCATTGATTATTTCATTAGATGTTTTATACTTTTAATGTTTTATGTGTGTACTATAAAATAATCTATACTTCAGGTAGGTAAACATTCAATCATGATGATGGTGAATCAATCAAAATGAAACGTACGTACAAGAACGTTACCTAATCTATGGTCGAATTGAATCAATTGCGCTGTGTTTTTGCATTTATTTTAAAATACCTACAATGTTTTACAATTTTTTTAATTCCCATTTCTAGAAATATACAAAAATATATTGATAACTAGCCATAAACTAAAACCTAAAATTATACTAGCAAAGTCCATGAACGGCTTTTCGTCGCTATTGGCCTCAGAACAATTAGTAATTATTCTGAGCTATTGGCGCAGCTTTCGCCATTCTTCTTTATCTATGGGTCGTATTCTAGGGGTCATATTCTAGAACTCTACTTAATGCTCAAGTCAGGACTTGAGCATGATTCAAAGCACTAGAAATCATACTCAATTCCTTGCCATTAGGGTCGTATTTCCAGTGCTTGAAATCATACTCAAGTCTGCTCAAATCCTGACTTGAGCATTGAGTACAGTTCTGGAATACGATCCTTAAACTCTAACTCAATGCTCAAGTCAGGATTTGTGTATAGTTTAAAGCACTCGAAATCATACTCAAGTACCTGCCATTACGGTCGTATTTCCAGTGCTTGAAATCATACTAATCATAGTTCTGGAATACGACTCTTAAGAGTCGTATCCTAGAACTCTACTCAATGCTCAAGTCAGGATTTGAGCAGACTTGAATATGATTTGAAGCACTGGAAATACGACCCTAATGGCAAGGTCTTGAGTATGATTTTCAGTGCTCACTGCAATGCTCAAGTCAGGATTTGAGTATAGTTTAAAGCATTCGAAATCATACTCAAGTCCCTGCCATTAGGGTCGTATTTCCAGTGCTTGTGTTTCCATAGCAATCCTGACTAGAATATTGAGTAGAGTTCTAGAGACCCTACACTTGGCCGTGTGTATAAACAACAAACAATGTTAGGATCGAGAAACGAATAGGCCCGTAAAACGTCAAATGTCACTAGCAGTGGAATTTGACAAATTGTCAAAAAAATATTATGACGTTTTTCTTTTCGCACTGAAAGAATTTGTCGTTTAATCGTGTTTATTTGTCCTAAACCGTGGAAAATGGCTGCTGAAATTAAACCTGCACCTAGAACGCCAAACGATCGTTTCTCTACAACGAAAAAGCCGGCTCTGTTGAACAAATTGGAAGGCTGTACGGACGAAGTTAATGCGGCGGTTGTTATACCTGGCGAGGACGGAGTTATTAGCGTTTGCGATGATAAGTGAGTGTTCTGACTCAATAAACATAAGTAGCTAAATTCTACAGACACCCTTCGACCCCCTACTTAAATAAGGTATTGCGTAAATCGTCTTATTTCAACACCTTTCTGTGACGCCCTTTTGTCAGTTAATAATACCCTCTTTCATCAATATGTTGAAATTGCAACTGCTTAGTACATTGTATGGTGTAAATAAGGACCTACATGACTTTATTATACAAAATACAAGTTTAATTTTGGACTATATTGTCAGAATGCAGGTATTTGTATTTGTTTAACTATGTACAGGTGTTATATATACATATTCATTTTGTATATCAAAATAGGTGAGAGATAATATCTTTGTTTATATCATCGCTCTGAAGAATAGTGTCACCTACTACATACATTCATTCTAAGAAAAGAATATTGCAATGAAATGTCATGAATTGCATTATTTGCAACTATTAGACTTAGGTACAAATTAACACAATTTTCATCATAATGTTAGTTACAGTTATCCATAGTTTACTTATCTATGAGTCACATTCATTCAGGAAGATTATATTGCCTTTTGCATTTTGATACCTCCAATGAACACTATGCTAACTTAGTTTTTGGTCCTTTTCTGTTTTTAATGTAAACAGCCTTATTTATTTACCAATATTATGCTCCCTGAATTTTGTGAAAAAAGAAACAAAAAATAAATCAAGCTCTTACATTAAAAACAGAAAATTGTCTATGAAGGCGGTGTAGTGTTAATTGGAGGCTTTTTTGTTCATTGTGTAATCATGCAATTAGTCGAATGACTATGAGCAGATGTGTTGTGTGATTACTGGCATGTAGAGTCAACTATCAGCCGGAGCCCCTCCAATTGCAGCTGGATTTTCAAACTAGCTGATCCAATTCTAAGATTCTGCACCTCTTAAGACATCTTATTGAGTCAGGGATAGTCAGTAGCCCTGCCAGCAGGTTAGGATGGTGATGCAGTCGCTTTTAGTACTTAATAGCATAAGATCAAATTTCTTCCTTTACTGTGTTGATTTTTAGATAGTGGTAGGTTCATTGGAGGTATCAATTTATCAATTATGCTACTAAGCTGTTTTTTGCATTAGTGGGCTTTTAGTAGTTAAGTTATTAATCGCACTTGTAACACAAAGGACAATAGCGAAATCATAGCTAAAACAATTCTTTAGCGTCTTCAAATTTTGTAATGACAAGGTTTTAAGCTTGTCATTACAAAATTTTACAAAACTTTATTTTATTTATAAAATAAATTAATTTGATTTTTAAAATGACACTAAAGCCTTGTCTAGGTCTGGAAACAAAATCATATTTAAAAGAAGCTCAAATGACCAATTAAGATGTAACCGGACTTATATCTGCAACTGTCTGTTTTTTAGTTTCTTAACATACAACATCTAACTGCCAAAATAGATTTTCAGTGCCTATGCACATATGTAGATGGGTCCACATTAAGTTAGTTCACGTAATATAAAATCTACTGATTCACCCGATTTGCAATAAAAGATTAACTACTTTATTACAAAAAATAAAATAGATAATCCCTTCTCAAAATATGTTGCGTGTGACCATGATAAATACTTTTTAACCATACCATTATATAATATAATTTCCTTTGAACTTTGTCACATCATAAACCCAAGGTACCATTCAGCTTCTATTAACCCTGTTTAAGCTTCTGTAGTTTATTTTGATATAATGATACACCAAAGATATTTTATTTAATTTATGTGAAATGTAACCTCCAAAATCTTCAAACTGGTATCTTTAATTCTTAACTTCTCAGAACAGTAAACCCTAAAGCAAATTTTGTTCAGGAATGTAAGCTCTATGTATATTGTAACATATTTTTCATAATTAGACTCATACAAATTATTTCAACAAAAATTTACATGGGAGTTTGCCATTGTGCTTTGTGGAGTTGAGAAAACACTGTTTTAAAGTTCAAAAAATTGCTAATGAAATTAATAAATATATAGTTTCAGGTATACGTGGATAACTAAATTTATTTTTATTTATAGTATAAATAAAAATAATCGCATTATTAGCAGTAAGATCTATTCAGTATTTCTTTTTAATATTCAAACTTTGAGTTACTACTGTGTTATGTTTCATGTGCGTAATTCAATGGATTATAATGATTATAGCAGTAATTATTTTGAGTTGAGAAGTTGTATCCATCCAGTGCTAATGTCACAAAGGTGATTCAATCTAAATTGATCAATACCATTATCTCCATGTCAAAGTAATTTGACAGAAAGCTTACCTAAAATTTGTTCTGGCCCAAACTGCCATGTATGACCTGCCCTTTTTATGTAATGCTTACTGTACTTAACTGTAGAAAACACAGAAATATCTAATATTTCATTAAACATCAACCTTTTATTAGTATTAAAAAAAAGAATAGTAATAATAATAATTGTCAGTCAGAACCACTGGAGTAATATTTCTCTTAATAATACAAAGTGACAGTACAAACAAGTTGTGCACCTGGTGGTAAGCAACACAACTGTTCATAGTGGTTGCAGTGCCACTCAGAGCTTTAACTCTCAAAGTTCCTCAGGGCACTACCACCGCGTCCTTCACCCTGAGACATAAGTTGACAAGTGCCATGTGTTGGTAATTTTACCGGCACCCTTACCCTTCAAAACCAGAATGCAGTAATGCTCACATTGCTGCTTGGTGGTTGAAATAGATAAGGTGGCAGTACTTCCCTATTTTGATTGTAATAATGTCTTTATATTTTATTTCATAATAGAACAGTACGAGTCTGGCTTAAGCGGGACTCTGGCCAGTATTGGCCCAGCATCTGTCAGTACATGCCGTCCGGATGTACATCCATGTTTTATACACCTGAGACTCGTCAGTTATTTATTGGACAAGAGAACGGCACTATATCTGAGTTCACACTTGCGATGGATTGTAATAGGATAAATCCTGTAAGTAATTTTAAAAATTATATTTATTTCATCACTATGATGTGGCCTTTAGTCATTTCTTCTGCTCACTGCTTGAAAATTGTTATCGATAATAATACTGGTATCCAGAAATCCATTTTGGATGTAAAGGTCTATTTGCTACACCAGTATATAAATGAAATGCAGAATAAATGTACTTAATTTTGTGTCTAAAGTAATGAAACACTCTTTTCTCTTTGTTTTATTGTTTTACACAAACTGTAAAATCTGATTGTCCTTCTGATGGAAAGTGATTACCATCCCCTGTAGACATTTGTGATACCAAGGAATACTTTCATAACATTCCAAATGCATTACCAATCATGGGGCTCAAGTGACCTGTGCGTGTGATATCACTGGTTCTTCGTACACTTAAATAAGGAACACAGCACTGCGTTTATTCTATTTGTGTTAACTTGGCTTCCAAATTTTTATTTTGTTTTATTTTGCATCCACAGTCTCGAGAGTATCTAGCACACACAGCAAGAGTAACAGCAGTGATATTCTCCCTTAGCTGTGAGTGGGTGCTATCAGTGAGCCGTGACAAGCTGTTCTCTTACCACTGCAGTGAGACTGGCCGGAGAATTGGCGGATATTCTTTTGAAGCGTGGTGTACAGCTTTGCAGTATCCTTTTTTAAAGTGCTATGTACGTAACAGTATAATACAATAGGTAATTCAAAAAAATAAATTAGTAAGTAGAGTATCTAGCAAATACGTAAAAACACGATATAGAATAGTGTGACTCTACACTTATTTTGACTTCTAAGATCTGTTGTGAATGAATCCCCCTGTTCCCAAATTTATCGCAGCAGATTCTAGGTTGTTGTAGTTACTGGAGGATTTTACTTGATCAATGCTGTACCAAATGTTAGTATCTTATATGCGTCTTATAACACGTACCAAAGCGACAATGTCACTCTTGTAGTACTGTGATGTTTCAGGCATAAAGGTTATTCCCGTATCTAAAACCTACTTATATTTAAGTAGAAGTAAAGAACTTCTTAAATGAATTACTCCATTGATTAACAGATCCACACATATGCTATTTTAATGCGATAACACGATAGTATAGTGGACACTGACACCATTGTATAATAATTTTTGTGCCCTTATCTTGGTGCAGGATGAGATAGCTCAAAAGCTTTTTTCAAATAAAATGACTTTGACGGCGAATATGTTATTCCTTTGGTGGGGTTATCTATAAATTTCCTCGAATGTTTAAAGCACAATCTGCACTTTAGAATATAATATAGATATAGAATAATGCAGAATTTTCTTAGCAAAATGTGTTAGATTTGACTCGCAGTCAAAGTACGCATTCGTGGGCGACTACAGTGGCCAAATCACCATGCTGAAGCTAGACAACAACGGAGCTACCTTAGTCACTACTCTCAAAGGTCACACTGGGTATGTTTTTCTTTGATTAAATACAGTACAATACATAAAATAGAATAGAATGGACATTTATTGCAACACATAGATACAAAAAAAATATTGATAACACTAAAAACAAAAATAAAAAATACAAAAAACAAAAAAGAAACATCAAATAGGACAAAACAGACAAAAACAAAAACCTAAATATGTCGACTACAAATGTTGTACTGTCATTTGTGAGGCTGTGGCGTATTCAAAAGGACTTTATTCAGCTTATGCCACAGCCATAATTGACTGTGGTGCTGATTATCAGTGACATAATACACGAAACATCACAAATTCTTAGGCAATTTATTTTATCATAGTGAAGGGAAAACATCGTAACTAACCAAGTACGTCGGAGTAGGTTCTTTAATATCTTTTTAAAATATGTGGTTGAGAAGTTTCCAATTTCCACTGGATCAGTGAACTGGACAGGACCGTAATATTTTGTCTATGGCCTTTTCTAGCACAGCTTGATGTCTTTACGTGCAATAAGTTCGTTTAAAAAAAAAAGATTATATTTTTTAATATACTTGCCTATGGACGTGGCTAGTCAGTGATTGTATCAACACTGCACTAGTTCCTTTACGTTTAGATTTTTAAAATAATAATAGTAATAATAGTAACAATTAATCTTATAAGGAATATCTTATATGGATTATGAGTATTGAAGACGACATAACAATAGAATATTGAATTGGTTTCAGTTCTGTTCGAGTATTAAATTGGGCACCGTTACCTCAACTCCTCTTCAGCGGTTCATTCGACCAGACGATCATAGTATGGGACATAGGCGGCCAAAAGGGCACAGCTTATGAACTACAAGGACATAGGTGAATTTAGTTTATTTTGTCTTACTGTGATATTATGACATTCTATTAAAATAGACTTTGAAAGTGCAGGGCTACCGCTTAACTGAGTTGATTACTGAGGCAGTTGCTCGGCGCGGAAGGAGTGATTGTTTACATTTTTTTTTATAACACCAAGTGACGGAACGAACAAGTTGTGCGCCTGGTCATCCAAGCATGGAGGCACAAAAGAATTTGGGCAATTTTACTTACTTACTTATTGAAATACAATAAATTCTTCTTTGAATTTCAGCAGTATTATTAACAGTGATCAGAATTGAGGGAATTAAAAAAATATATATACTTAAAGTATGAACGTTTTCTTAGTATGGACATACACATTTCGTCAACAATGTGTATAAAATTTTTTTTTACTGTTTATTTTCTAAACATTCCAAAATATAGGTTGTTTCCTGTTTCAAATGGTTAAAGTATTTAAATACGTAAGTACCTATAGAAACATGACTACAATATTATAGTAGCAAATACTTAATAGGAAATAATAATTTGTTGCCAATGTATTTGTAATTCAAGTATAATCAGTTGCGAGAAGTCCCGGGATTTGTAGAAGAGAATGTCCACGTTATTCTTTAGATTAGCTATATTAACTTTTTTTATAAAATCAAGTGACGGGACGAACAAGTCGTGCGCCTGATGGTAAGCTACACGCCTGACCGTAATAATTGCAGTGCCACTCTGAGCTTTAAATCGCAAAGATCTGAGGGGCATTGCCACTGCGCCCGTCACCCTGAGACATAAGTTGACAAGTCTCGTTTGCCTGTAATTTCACCAAAATTTGAATATTACGTAAAAAAAATTTACCTAATGGTTATGTTGCGCTGCACACGAGATTATTTCAATAAGATTTTTCTGACGAAGTTGATTGAAAAAAGTGCCAAATGTCTTGTCTATTTACTTCAATTATCAATGAAATTTGTTTTTTAATTATCGTTTTCATAACAACAGTTGACTAATTTGGTATAGTCCGTTTTTTTCGAAGACGGAGTAAAATTACATTTATGGGGTTGCCAGCTTTCATAACATTTTAAATAGGGGGAGTCCCCCGAGTACCGGACACTTAAGGTTTTGCAGAAATTAAACAAATTCAGATCATATTTTATTACGACACGTAACATTTTGAGATACACAATTATATTAGACATTCAAATAAATCAACATAAATAACTATCGAACAATTTTAACAACTAGAAAAAGAAACTAATCATTAGTCTTGTTTTTGGTATCATTGAAAACTGGCACCTAGTACCGGACAAGTATGAATTCAAACCCCTAATACCGGACAGTACCGTTAACATCGAGATTTCTGAAATAAAAACTTAGTCAATAATCTTTCATTTAATACAGCAAATATACTGAAACATAATGTACTCATTATTTAAAATAATATAATCTAACATGTGTATATAATTTTAAGAAACACGGTCGTTATAGACTTTCGATAAATCAACGCAAACAATAATTGAATTTAGTGGAAACAATTTAAAGATAACTTACAAAAAATTACACCGATTACAAATATAGAGATCTGAGCACTGGGATATCCGCGCAGGTTTCATGTGCCCATTCTTTACATAACCCACACTGAATCCAGTCTTCTTCGTAGTCTTCGCAACAAACAACGCAATAGTACTTCTCTACCTGTTTTTCAACCGGTTTTATTTTTGTTTTTCATATGTCCTTCGTCTTTTTAATTTTGCAATTACCTTCTTCTTTTATTTATTTTTTTAAAATTTTATTTTTCTTCTAAACGTTTGTATGGCGAATCAGTCAAATTTTCACTTTTTTCAGCTCGACGTTTCTTTGTTTGTTCTCTGTAGCAGCATCTGGCAGTGGAGCAAATTATATAGCATAGAACATTTTGTCAAAATAAGATTGTCTCCCTACTAGGGAACTTTTACGGGTAAAAATACACTTGTCCGATACTAGGGAACCAGATATTGTCCGAACGTAGGGACACACCATACCTTAAGTAAAATTTCGATTACAATAACGTTTATTAATATATTTGCCACAAAAGTATTTGAATGTAAAATGTACTTACCAATGATTAAAGAAAAAGCAATACACGCAATGTATTCTCTCTAAATAGTAATTTATGATGTTTCCAATGTCGATGCAACTGATATACGCGCGAAATGTGCAAATTGTCATCTGTAAATCGTATCAAGCAAGACTAAGACCTCCCACGCCGCAGGTGGTTTCTTTCCGTTAAGTTTAACGTCTTTTTATAAACGAGAGCAAATTAGAGCATTATTTCATGTTTGGATATGATCTGTCCGGTACTATGTGCTGTCCGGCGCTAGGGGGATACCCCCTACGTAGTTGTTGTCGATAGTTTTATCTATAGATTGTGAAAGAAAATAAAATTTTGCCAAGAATGACTGATTTGTGAATGTTACGGCGCTCTAATGATTAATAGTTGCGTTATTGCCTTCTTTATTCTTATTTTGACAGTTGACCTACTAGTTTCGAGATCAATTTTTATTCACATACATTTTAACAAGAACAGGCGGATATGATTATCTATATTTAATTAAAATGAAAAGCTTTAAAATATCTCTCCACTTTATATTATTTATATTTATTATTATGTATTATATAAACATAGTTCTAAATACAGTGTATGTATGTGTGAACTTACAAAAAGTGACAATTAAAATAAACTTGGGCTCACTAATAGAATGAATAATGGGGAAACAAGTTCGGCTATTTATTCCATAAGCTTGACCAATATTCAGTCGATAGTCGATAGGATATTTATCGAGCACTAGCTGCTCGTAAGCGGGCAACACTTTTGCGCAATGAACTGTCATTTTACTCCGTCTTCAAAAAAGACAGACTATAGGCATTTTTTTCAATTAACTTGCTATTGCCACCGTCACCGCGTAGCTATCTATGAGGAGAGAAACACGTGTCGGTTATGTTTTCGGTGGTGGTCTCTGTGACTGTAGTTGCGCTTGTGTTATTTATTTTATTAATTTTTTTATAAACTTAAGTGCATGAAAAAATATTTAACACAAGCGCAGCTATTTTGCACGATTTAACCTTCACTGAGTTCGCGGAGTAGCAAATTAATTTCCTTCTATTTTTTAAAAACTCCGCAGTCGTATTAGACACTGTTAGTAGTAAAGACAGCCTCAAATACTGTAAAGTTTTTATAATAAGTGTTCATTTCACCGTGTAAAATAAATGGTACTACCACAGTATAACACGACAAGTATGGTAACTCCATTCATACGCAGCAGCGGGGCTTATATATGTGCACGCCTTCCGCGCGCCATGTACGGACGCGCACATGCGCAAAATAATGAAAGGTGCGTGAGCGCCTGAGCCTGAGTGAGACCAGCACTAAATGCAACGCGAGTGCATCGCGAAATGATGCGAATGCGTACGTCCATACACGGCAGGCGGTGGCTGTGCACACATACAAATCGCGCTTCTATGTTTGTATGGAGTTACCATATTTGTCTTATTATACTAGCACTACTTTGAAATTTAGACCTTATGTTCTCTATTATCTAAAGTTGAATTTTATTTGTTCACAGTAACAAAGTAACCGGTCTCTGGTACGTGGGCAGCTGTGAACGATTGGTGTCGGCAGGTGAGGATGGGGCAATGGGCGTATGGGAGATGGCTGTGAAGAGAAGAGAAACGCCTGCGTGGAAAGAATCTGATCTGTGCCAGATTTGCAGAGCACCTTTTATATGGAACGTTCGGGCTATGATGGAGAAGAAGCAACTAGGTAAGTGTTGTAAATTGTTGTTGAGCTTTTTCTATGATATTGAGGACCTGTCGTCTTCATGCCGATGATATTCCAGTACAGTGACCTTTTATGAAAGTATCTAATTCATCTCCAGGATGGTTCACTGGCTATTTGGCACGCGAAGCCGAGGAATCGTGTGCACAATATTGTCACATGATTATTTTTAAGCTTATATTCTTATTCAGATTAAAATTCAACAGATTCTGAATACAATTGTATAATATACAAAAAAAATACTATTTTGGTTTGCCATTTTCTCTTGAAGAGGTTGACGTAAAGGTTCGAGAAGTTTTTTCACTGCCGATTGCATAAAATTTTGGTTATATACAATGCATTTTTTGCAATTCAGTTACTTTGTGCTATCTTATACGACAAACAAATTATTTACACAGTATAAGGAAGAGATTTAATGTTAATACCAATAAGTTGGTTACCAATACCGTCTTCAATGTTGTCCAGGTCTCCGACAGCATCATTGCCGGTGGTGCGGCTCAGCGGTGTGCGCGACGTGCTCGCCACATAGACTGCCACTTCCAATTATGGGGTTCGAGTTCCCGCAGCGCGTATGCACCGTTTGCTACGAAACGCTTCGTCATGAGCCGTGAGTTAATTTGACTGTTTTTATATAAAACACTTTCTTAAAATGCTAGACTGTGGCCTAAACCCTGACCAAGACGTTATCCGCTGGTATAGCGAGTCAAAATGTGTCTGGGCCCATGGAACGAAATCACGCCACTTCCACATAGGTCTTGTGCAGTTTATCGCAAATCATTGGCTTGAAGCTCAAGCAGGTCCGCTTCCACGACATCGTTCCAGTAATATCTAGGGTGACCAACTGACCTGAACCATCATAGTAGTATGATGGGACAAATAGTGTAACCACATACAATCGTAGCGGTGCGGCTTGTACGCACTCATTCTCATATTCTCGCGGCGCACTCGGGTTGCACGACGCGGGACGCAGGCGTCATTTATTCATTGAAGCGTTCGCTCGGTGTGTTTAAAAACCACACGTCTACTTAGACGTATTTATTGTATTTAGAATTGTTCAACATTTCATTTCGATTTCATAAACATTTAGTAGCAGTAGAGCTGCTTGGAAAGTACTGCCACCTTATCTATTTCTGCCACCAAGTAGTAATATATTCCGGTTTTGTAGGATAAGGGTGCTGCTGAAATTATAAGCACATGAAACTTGTCAATTTATGTTTGAAGAGGACAGTCGCAGTAGCAGTGCCCCTCAAATATTTGCGATTTAAACCTCTGATTGGCACTGCAACTGCTACGGACGAGCGTGTCGTTTACCGTTCACAAAAAAAAAATAATTAATGTTTGTTGATTATACACCACAAACTTTCCAATATCTACCTCAAAGCAGTTTTTGATTTAAAGGTGGGGAGACCTGATGCAGTCACAGATGTGACTTATATTCTAATGCTTCACGGCCGGCAATGCATTTGCCGGCAAGTTTCGCAAATATTTGTGCTGGCGGTTACCACTTTCCATTAGGTGGACCATCTGACTGTTTAGCGATTTGAATATTATAAAAAAATGAATACCTAGATGGTATTATTTTTTTTCTAAAAGACAATCATCAAAGTATCGCCAAATGGTCCATTTAGTTTGTGCACCGGGAGTGCGTTTAAGAAATACCTTTTCGTTTACATTTTTATGTGCTATTGTTATTTATTGCTATTTTACTTTGAATTTTGGATTTTTAGTTTTATTTTCAAATTGTGAGTATTTGTTTTGAATTTATAGATGTTTGATATTGTGTCGTGAACGTATAGAGTTTACACGCAAAGGCGCCTAGCCTTGACGTCGAGTTGCATCGACGTATAGTCGAGACGTCGAGTATAGAGTTTAACCGACTTCAAAAAAAGGAGGAGTCAGTTTGAGAGGCAGTTCTCAATTTGACTGGTTTTTTTAGATTTGTATGTAACATACATACGCATACATACGCAATTCTTTTTTGTTGGAAAACGGGGGTGGTCAGTATTGGTCCCATTTAAATTTGAAGAAAATATTCCTCTAAGGGTGGGAAACTAGGGGATCAATTAGGTTTCGTGCACTTTCCGGTGACGGATTTCAATAAAATTTGGCAAATAGATGTAATTCCACGAACTTTTGAGGTCGGTTTTTGAGTACTTTGTATTGAGATAATTATGAAAATTTAAATTTTTACTTTACGATTTGATTTTATACTTTTTTAATATTGTGTTCCAATTTTAAATAACATTTTATTGTTTGAATTGATTTAAAATTTTTATAAATTACAATTTACCTGCGTTGTAAGTTATATATTTTATTTTTATTTATTAAGAAAACCAACGGCGTTACATAAAATATTTCACATAGTGTATAGGCTAAGAGTAAAACTAATGACAGGTTTCCCTTGTTTACATATCATTATATAATAATAAACAAAAGTAGTTACATCTAACATTAGTGGCGAATGAACAAGATTAAACTAGTTTTAGACGCCGAAATCAAAAAATCACTTGTTGTTTAAAGATAAAATAATAATCCCAGTAATGGGATGTTGATGTAAAATGTAAACAAGTCGTCATACGCTAAACAGAAACTACTGAAAAAGTGACCTTTTTAAAGCAGCTATTGTCTTTCGTATTATCACCAGAATGATGAAATTAAGTTACTAGGGTGCCTACTTTACTACCATTTTTCATGTAAGCAACCGCCAAGGATAGATAGTAGCATTTCTACATTAGTTAAAATATTATGATTAGTTTTAAGATGCAATGTACCATACGATGTGAACATTTTGTGTCTTTATATAGCGATAAGTGTATTAATTAGCCAATATAGTGTATTAAGTGCAACTGTATTTTCGAATTATTACATTGTATATAAGCATAGTCGACACTTCGCGCATTTACTAATTGATCGTGCCAAAGAAAGTTTTGTGTACCTGTTTTTTATATGTGTGCTTAGAAACAGAGATCAATGTCTTCAAACAAGTAATTGTACAGTCGCGGTAACCAAGTGAGGACCGCATTGGCGGCATAATTGGTCGAATGTTGTGGGACATGCAACAGTGATGTGTGACGGTGATGTGTGAAGTGTACGTCGCCGCGCAGTGCGATAAGTAATTCCAGCCACTGCCTCGGGGCAGTCTACCCGTGCCTTGATTATGTCGTACAATAAACATGCATCCAAAGCCTTTTTTTTTAGTGTTAATAAATTATTTCTATGACAATCCTCTGTGTAGGTTATGGTGGGTCTGCGAAGACGAAAATTAATGTGCCGGATGAATTTTTTTTGAATCCTTTCAAGTTGACTAATGTAGATGTTATATTGGGGGGACCAGATTAGACTAGCATACTCCAAAATGCTCCGAACATATGCGTAGTATACGGATTTAAGTCACAATGTCTTTAAAAGATTTACATGTACGCAAAACAAAGCCCATATTTCTAAACGCTTTTTCAGCAATAATGTTTATGTGATCTGAGAGAAGCATTTTTTGGTCAAGATATACGCCCAAGTTCCGTATTAAGTTAACCCTCTCTATTGGGACTCCATTAAAGTTGTAGGAGTGACATATAGGTTTTGTTTTGTATGTGAATGTGATGCATTGGCAATTATTTATGTTAACATATATTCTGTTTTCATTGTAATATTTATATAATGAATTTAAATCTTGCTGTAAGATGTTGCAGTCATTAAAGTTATTTATTTTGAGGTAAATTTTTTTACAATCCACTTTAACACTTCGTTATTTCGTTATATCAAATATGTAGGAATTGTAGAACAAAGGCCCAAAATGAGAACCTTGAGGCACCCCCATAGGAACCACTACAAAATCCGATCTAAAACCACTTACTACGACAGCCTGAGAGCGGTTGCTGAGATAGGATTTAATCCATCATGTATCCCATGTATCCCTAACATCTGTAGTATATGTAATATTGTGGAGAAAATTTGAATTTTTAATTGTTAGTTATTTGATTTATTATTTTTTAACTTTCAGCCGCGAATCCCTAGCATCATTCCACGATATGAAACACGCGGTTGCGTCTCTATATGTGGACGAAGCGACCGGCCGCATGTGCACAGCTGGCAAAGACCGCGTCATCAAAGTGTGGGACATCAGCGTTTTAATTGCACCCGCGCCGAAGCCTGGCACCTCTGACCAATAGCCGTGAGTGCCTACTGGCCCCATGTTATATACTAATACCAGTTCGATTATTCTGTATAAAAAGGTATCTTCGTGATTGATATAAATTTTAATGTCAAGCGGCGCTAGTTAATTCATCGTGTGTCAGGGTTGGATCTTTCTCGTCATCGCGCATTTTGATGATAAACTTATTATTATGCAGATGCCAGTGTGCTTTTATGCGCTAGAATGTCAATTTGACAAAGCAGAGTCCTTGACGATACTCCATTATAAAATACCTAGCGGGTTTCAACCCGTAATGGCTGAAAAGATTTTGACATGACATTCAAGTATCAATTTCTTCTACTAACAACAAAAAAAATTGTATCTAAATTCAATAACACCTTTTCATGGTCAAAAGATGCTTATCAGCCGAGATAGGTAGGCATATTACAACAGTAATGGAATCGAACTGAACAATTCGTACGAAGTCCCAAGGTTTGCGTGGAATGCATTGAAATCTCGGGACTTGTACTTGATTTTGATTATCATAATCATCTGTTAATGTTTGGTGCTGTACAGTTCTGCATATGTATAAATGATTGTAGTAGTCAGTGTTAACTTGTAACTTGTGGAATAATGGCACTTATACATCTGCAATTAACCGTGAGAGCGCCATCAAATTGATGCTTGTAGAAGCGATGCAGTGGCGCGGCAGCCGCCTGGCAGTCTGTAATACTTTAGTAATTTTTAGTTCACTAATTGTGACTACAAAAGTGGCGCGCGCGAATCACGACAGTGGCGCTGCAACTGCGCTTCTAAATATTGTATGAGAATTAGAAGTGTTGCCACTGCAGAGCTTCTATAAGCGTCTAATTTTAAAGACACACCCTAAGGGTAAATAGTGCATAAGGTATTAATTACATAGGAACTGAATGTGAATAAATTAGGCGTGCTCTACACATATCCGTATACCAAAAACGCTCTTTACGTATTCGATACCTGCCGCCGGATCAAGCTCACTTGTATGAGCGTGTATGTAGTACGATTAACTACGTTAAAAAAATATCACCAAATAGAACGTTTTAAATAAAAAAAATTTGATTATGGATGACTTACGTACAAATTACTTGCACACGAAAATCAGTGTAAAGTTAATGAATATATGTATAAAAAAGAAATATTGTTTTTGGATTGCGCCAGCACAGTATACAAATTTACAGAGATGGTTTAGTTGATGAGAGTAATTTCATAGTATAACAAGAAGTATACTACCTTTGTTGTCATAAACAACGCATTTGCATTTTGGTAACTTTCAAGATATTACACCCAAAGTTTTTTTCTTTGATAAATGTCGATTACGCTGTTTTTGCTTAACAACAAAACTGACAGTAAATACGATATATAAAAAAACCGCTTAAAGGGGGTTGTAGATCTCGTTTCAATGATTCTAGATGTGTTAATAGCTCAATTTAGTTAAAAATGTCGATTACGTTGTTTATGATAAGGACGGCAGTGTAACTCCCGCTTATTCGGCGCGTCAATGCTTACACGTCGGTTAACTTGCACCGTAGGGTTGTCACATTATTATTTTAGTTGTACCTAAAGGCTGTTTTATTGAATATCATGATGTTTTACCATGGCGATATTCATATATTTTTGTTAAATAACTCCACAATTTTTTTATAATTATTAATACGGTGATAAAACAACTTTATATTCAATAAAATTTATATTACAATCAATACAGCGTCATCTACGTCAGCTTGTACGCAGTAGCTATTAAGGTACGGGCTAAGAGAGATGTTCCATAAGTCTTTCACAAGGTGACTCTTACGGCGTTAAAAAGTCGAAAAACCCAATACAAAAGATCTGTAACAAAAACATTGAGGAATTCATAATGCCGACTCCACACGCTTGCCAAACCATGGCAAGGACGTCGATGCGCGGTTGATGACAAATAAACGTGTGGATGTTGTATTTGGATTGACTTGCGCGAGCTTACATGTGTTTAGATTTTAAGACTTTCGTGGTTATTCACTAAATGATTATCACTAGTATCAGGTTTCTTACCACGGTATGACTTCTTTTTATTTTCCAGATATTTCGGAACGGTTTCACGATCCATGGTCACGGGTAGTCAACCCGTTTGCTTGCGGCGTTTGCCATGTATCTACACGTTTGTGCTAGTTAGTATTGTTTGAGAACTGTCGATAGACAGACTTATTTTTCTGCTACATTGGCTTGATGGATATTATGTATAATATTTAAAAAAATAATGCTGTACTTTATTAATGGCTGAATAGTTTAAACCTTTGCCTTTTCCTTAGCGGAAAGAATATAAAAATAACCAAGTATTACAATGAAGGAATGTTCGCTTTCCGTGGTTATAAATTTGGAAAATGGGTGACTGGGCACTCTTTCTGAAGTGCTACCAAGCAGAACCCTGCATTTGGAATCTGAAGCATAAGGACCATAAAGACCGAACGTAATAGCAGACACAAATTCGACGTCTGCCATGCTTGCTTCACTCACTGGAGCATACTGCAAGCGTGTGGATGACGACGTTTGTCACATCTAATTTGCCAAGCGTTTGTAGACGTTTGGGGCTTCTGGCAAATGGCAAGCGTTTGGAGCCGTCATTAGATCTGCTGACTCGACCTGTACCCCAGATGACAGAGCATCATCGAGCATATACATACACACACACAAGCAGCGCTGCTAAATTTATATGGAATGACACTACTTATTATACTGTGGTAACATTGACAGACGATGCAATATTATCATTGCCTTAAAATATAGATGATATTACTGTATAGTGGTGGTAAGCGGCACGTTTACCCATAACAGTTGCAGAGCCTTAAATTGTAAGAGTTACTACTCTGTGGCAACTTTATGTCTCAAGTTGACAAGTCCTATGTGCCTAAAACCGGAACGTCCGCGCCGTAATCCTCATATTACATCTTGGCAAGGCGGAAGAAATAAGCGTGGCAGTAGTTCCCTGGATGAATTCTTTCACAAGAAGCAACACTGCTATTGAGTCTGTAGTTCAACCTTTACTGTTTAGTCGGCGTGACCGTCATAGACCTTTTACTCACTCTCATTATTTATACATGGTAAAAATAACGGCGTCTCGTATTCTTTAATAAATTAATTATATTTGGTGATATTTTTCAGCTACAATCCAACGAAACATTTCAATTACCTACTTTTACTTACTCTCGCTATTTATACAGGGTGAAAATAACGGCGTCCTGTATTCTTTAATAATTATATTTGGTGATATTTTTAGCTACAATCCAACGAAACATTTCATGTATTTCAGCTATTTTTGTAACTAAGACTGAATTACTCCAGAATAATCTTAATGAGATTTTTAGAGCTGAGAACTATTTTAGGAAATCTGTGAAGGGTGAAATTGAAGTTTTATTGATGTTATTGTTTGGAGTTTATTCGTTAAGAATTTCTTTTATAAATGAAATGAAAACAATCTCGCACGATACAATGGCATTATTGAATTTCAATCTTATTCTGTGTGATCTATATGTTCTACAGAAAATTGCCTTTTGTTTTTTAACTATATTAACAGATGTATTTTATGCGTTATTCCATATTCGTATTCCATCAATTTAAGCTTCTTTTTTAAAATTGCATGTAAGAAAGTACGAAATTTTTTGTATTTTTAAAATTTAATTTTAATCAAATTAATTTTCTACTTTAAAATTAAGAAATTTGGTTATAACTTAATGTACATCTCACGCCAAAGATGCGAGATAATTGGAGAAAATTGTTAAATATGATAAGTATTATTAATCAAATTTGATTTACAAATCAAATAAAAAATCAATTAATTAAAAAAATTAAAAAATTAATAAATAACAGAAATTAATTAATTTCTATGTTATACGTATTGTAATTGACATAAAAAGTCCTTATAGACAATAATCATTTCATTAAATTTTCAACATTTCATACATTCACTAAATATGGTATACATGTTTAGTTTGTTAAATGTACTTTGCACATTAGGTTTATAGTCCATCAAATCGTAGAAAAGACATGTGTTTAGACCGTAGTTTCCCAAAGTGAAAGCAATTGGGCGAGAGTTGAAATTAAAAAATTTGAAAATAAAAAAGCCTAATTTATCTATATAAATTATTTTTTTATTGTGTTAATATGAAAAATTCGTGTTTTCAATATTTTATTGTGTTGGTGGGCGTTTAACTTTTTTTATCTTACCTAAGTGGGCGGTGACCCAAAAAGTTTGGGAACCTAAGGTTTAAACGATCAATGAAATGTAGTTGCTGTAACATCTCCGCTAGCTTTGACGTAAACTAATTCCCTGTATTGTTTGAACAAATATGGAACTAACGTCTAACCTTGCGTATTTTCATCCAAAATCAGTTCTTAGGATATAGTTTTTGTAGAACTAACCTTCCCAATACCTTGGAATTGAAATTTACATAACGTTACGTCCTGCTTGTTTCACAATGGTGTTTATTGATCAAAATTGGTCAAAATTTGGTCTTTATTTCGCAAATTACGTTAAAACACTTTTCGTAATGTGGACCAATTATAGTCGAAAAGCTTATTAAATATGAAATGTGCGTAGATTTTTAAAATCCACATTAAAATTATTGTCATACAAAAAAGTGTATGAGTTCATGCAAAATGAAAAGAAACAAAAATATCAGTCACTACATAAAAATAGCGCTTATTCAATACGTAATTGTATATAATATTCTGTGTATATGTATTGCATTTTATATATTGGATGTCGCCAAACGAAATATGTTTATCGGTGTATAATTATATATAACATGCTATGATAATCTCAGACAAAAATTGTCATAATTGTTCATGTCGTGTTTAAAACATTATTTACAACATAATTTACTCACGTCCTTATTCAAAGGAACGCTAAAAAAATTTAAAATTACTGTTATTCAACCTTTTTTTATCACCTTTTTTGTGTTGAATGAAAAAAGAAGAATCAAAATCAAAGGACATTCTGTATTCAAATTAAGCATTCTGCTATAATGCCAGTGATATAAGAACATTGTAATCATAATTCAAACTTTCTTTAGCGTTCCTCGAAATATGTCTATGTGTGTATACTTATTGAGTCTTAAAGCCGAATTTACATTTGTCTGACGTGTAGTGTCGTGACGCGTCAGAGCGGTATCGGTTTCACACACACAACACAAACAAACACGTCAGATTGCGACACACTAATATAAATCTAGCCATATTAAACCTATGAAAACAATACAGTTCTGACGCGTCACGACACGACACGTCAGACAAATGTAAATCCGGCTTAAGTAATAGTAATGTATTTGTTGGTTATTAGGTCAACGGGGCTAAGTGTGGTTTATCATAGTGTATAAAGACGTATATTTTTATATATTATATTCTCATATATTCTTCTATATTAAAATAAAGTGATATTTGAATATGGAAGAATCGCGACTTTTCCAAGCGTTTGGGATTGCCGTTGTCAAATTAGCAGTACTAATTGCTTTTATTGCTGATCTGTTTTCATTTGGTGGTTCAACAACGATATACCTCTGGGTGATATTGATAGCGAGAGATAGTGTGTAGATTATTTGTAATATGTTTTATCTTTTTCGCAGCCGAGTTATTTCACCATAGTTGTCAAAGTGACCTCCACGAGTTTACTGTGACAGTTGTCGCTGGCGACCACGTGAAATACTACACAATTTTGTATGGCAAAATATACAGCAAACCTAACGGTCACAAGAAGCGACATCATTATATATACAAACATTTTACGCGGTCGTTAGCGAGAACTGTCACTGTAATCTTATGGTAGAGGCACTGATCTATGTTCTACTAATATCTTTAAATAGATTACCCCACACACTTTCCCCCAGTTGTCTTACTATTATTAATTTAAAAAATTGTCACTATTCCTTTAAGTATGTAATTTAAAAGATTTATTTTTTTATTCACTGAGCTTATTGTTTTACGTTTGTAAAGTTATGCTGTAAGATATAGTCACAGTGTAATTAATAAATATATGTTATTATATACTTACATAGATCGCTTAAAGATTTCTATGCCAATAAAAATGTAAGAAAATTAACTATATTATTTATTGTTTGCTTAAAAATAGATGATATTACATACTTACGAGTGGAACCACATACCTTAAAATTATGAACAAAATGAATCTTATTGTAAGCAGTTTACGAATAACAATTCCACTAATATCGATATCACAGCCTCGTAGTAAATATTTTATATCTAATCAGGTACATCACCTCTTATGGTCCTCTATAGGCTTGTTATAATTCAGACTTTGTAAATAATCTGATTTCAGGGATAGGCATGTAAAATAATGTATCAGCGCACAAGTACGCATGTGTTAAAGTTAAACGGTGCACGGAACACAGAGCATTAGGGTCATTTTCAGGTTAGTTTTCTCTACCTAATTCCAGTGACAATTTTTATCATTTAAGTATTCGAGTATATTATGGTGAAATATTAAATAATACACTCGAATATTCAATAATACTTCATCATAACATTGTAGAACCTTTAAATAATAAAAATTGCCACCGAAATTAGGTAGAGAAAACTAACCTGAAAATCACCCATTAGTACCAAGCCATATGTACGAGGTGTAAAGCAAATGCAAACAATCTCTCTCTCTTATACGAAATAAGGTTTTATAGTGGCGCAGTAACTGAAGAGTGCTGACTAATTAATCTTATACTGTGTCAACCGTTTTACTATCGTTTTTGTATCGTTTTAATATAGAGCTATTTTAAGTCTCAATAATCAATGTAGATATGAGGCGTATTATATACATATTCGGTTTTGCAATATTTTTTCGAATAACAAGCTCAAAATGCGTATAGGACGTCCATTAGCTTTGTATTTCAACCAGGGCACTGGAATAAGCTTTTTGGCACACAAATCTGTCCATTGAAGATTTGCTCGTCCGGGCAAGTGAGAGTGGTTTGCATACCGGTCACGCAGAAGTAGTAACTTTTGCACCCTGTATTTGGTACGGTGAAAAAGCCACCTTGTTCGCAGTTGTTGGCTTCTGTCTTTACCCGTCGCATAGCGGCGCACTGCAGATGTCGTGGCTCTACACAGGTGCGGCCGTCGAAGATCTTTCCGCCGAGACAAGACAGAGTTACCAGTCTGTCACCGCCTTCGCAGTAAAAATATCTGCAAAACGGTTTAGTTTAATGTTTATATGTTGTTAGTAGTTGCAAACATTTTTGAACAATGTTATTCGTGAATACAACACACCTATGACAACCCGTCTCGATTTCAGGGTGATAACCGTTCGTTAAAGAAAGGCAGGAGTGGTCTTCCACAGGGCAGAGTCCTGGTTTCGCCGGCACGCATGACTCGCCGTCGAACACTTTCCCTGCCTCACACGCGTACACCGCCTTCTCTCCCTTGTAACATGCGTAATACCCGCGGCACCCAGTGTCTAGCGCACGATACCGACCATCAGGTCGGCCGTAGCACGAGTCCCGTTCCAAGCTGGGACAGAGGTATCGCGTATCGTCGACACATCTCCGACCGTCGAACACTTGGCCCGAAGGACACGTTAACTTTATCTTTAGTGGTCCTTCACAGTGAAAATATCGCGTACAGTTAGATTCAAAATCCTGATAAGTACCACTTGGAAGTCCCTCGCAGTCGATATTTGGTTCTGGTCCTTCACAAGAAAATGCTTCTTTCGGGACGCAAGCATTGCTATCGAATACCAACCCAACATCACAAGATCCTCGAGCAATCACTCTTTCACGATGGCAGTTGAACCACGAAGAACAGTCACGCCAGTCACGGTGTAGGCCATCGGGGCGGTTAAAGCATGGGCTGCGCGCGGGTGGCGGGCAAAATGCCTCGGACACCGGCACACAGCCGCCGTTGGAGAAGATCTGACCTGTCTCGCATACGCCGCGGCGAACGACCCGCTTCGATTCGCACACGAAGTATTCCCGGCAAGCGGTGGACCGGTCCGCGTAAGCTCCATTTTCAACATTTTGGCATAGTGAGGAGCACACATCGTCGGAGCAAAAGTCTGCGTCACCGGCCGGTAGAGGTATAGAAGTGGAGCGTGCAGGCGGGCAAGTTTCAACGCAAGGACTGCCAGTGCACGATGTGACACCACGCAGCTCGGCACCGCTGCACTGTAGTGTTCGTCTGCACTGATGTGACGAATCTGGGTAGGTGCCATCAGGTAGGCCGGCGCATACCGGTTCGTAGCACGTGCCTGCGCCGCGCGTGCATGATTGTAGGACCAGATCGAACCATGCGCCCGAGGGACAGGAGTGGTCGATGGCTGTGCCGTTCTCGCAGCGGTAGTAATGTCGGCACGCCGTGCCGGGCGTTGCGTATGCGATATTATCCCCCATTGCACACACTCGGCGTACACAGGGTTGTCGACGTCGGGGTACGCACGCGCTCGCCGCCTCGCTGAAGGCTCGTCCCGGGGGGCATGAGTAGCGCCCCTTTATAGCGCCACCGCTGCATTTCATGTATACTCGACATTCTGTGTCGTAGTCCGCGTAGAGTCCGTCTCTGATGCACGAGATATCACCGCCGTCTGAAAATATTTAGCGTCTGTTTTAGACCTCGTCAACCTCAACCTTTATCGTATTTGGGCATTGTGTGGTCGCGTGGGAATACCGCTAGCAAAAAATAGACGAGTTAATTAGACCACAAACGTACAGACTGGCGGAATCGGAGGTAGAGAATAACGCACTTAAATAACTTTTGTAACATGGAAAAACTTGAGGATTATGTATGACACAACGAGTTTAATAGCAACATTTAGTAAATTTCTACAATAATTTAACTCACAAAATATTAAAAACTTTTGCTGTCCTAATTCTTACTCACTGACGTATACGATGGTAGCGAGTGCTACGAGCAGACATATAGCGCGCGCGGATGCGGGTGCTCGCGCAGACATGGCGAGTGCGACTGACTTTGGCGCTGAACGCCGCGGCGGCGGCATCGGCCGGAGGCTGCGTGGCGGCTGCGGACGCCCCGGGTTCCTTGACATTCGCACGCCCCCGCGGTAACCCGATCCCTGAGGCCCGGATGCAGCCTCTGAGTTAGGCATCTAGCGCGCTTTGCTCTACCGAGCGACGAGCGCCTGCCGCAGCATGCTGATTTCCGGAGCGGGTGCCTTGCCGACCGTGAACTTTGCCCTCTTATGTAACCGCACTGAGAACCATCCGGTGAATGGATTTCACGACGACGACGTTATGAATGAAATATTATTTTTTAAGACAATTAGTTTCAAAAAAAGTTATCTTGAAAAAGTTCCGCGTCGGCTATCAGAGTTCTACCGACAGTACAGTGTATTAGACTTGTAACTTTAAAAGAGGAGACCTGTGTGCAGCAGTGGGACGTAACTCTCATAGGATTTCATATACCTAGTGCACCCACCACTTCTGCCGTCTTAAGAAGAGGAACTGAAGCTACAATGCGGAATGAAGCATAGTTCTTAGTTAAAAATTCGGCTTACGCTGATTGACTATATAACATGTTGACAATTGCAAAAGAAAGCCCTGACAGCTACATTATGTGGTGCCAGTAAAATTTGTGAGAAATATTAATTAAGAGTTTCCGTATCATTTAAGAAAAAATACAATGCACTGCGATAATGATGTTGATAAGAGACATTCCCGATCGAGTTATTAAATGAGTCAAAAGACACTCCATCGTTATTTTTATTTTAAGGATGTACTCATAGCACGTAACTCTATTTTTATACTTTGTGTACCTCAATTATTATTCTGCTGCCGTACTCGTGGGAAACTGGTGTAAAAAATAAATGAAAACACGCGGAGATCGTGTCGAAACGTAATACATACTCGGTACTGAGGCGGAATCTCTGAGAATCTGCATGAGCATACGAATGAGGTATTGACATTCTTGAATAGAACTACGTACCATTAGTATACGTTGTTATTTGACATTGACCATGTAGGTTTCAGGGTAACAAACTGTTTACCCGAGTTTCTAAGCGGTGTTTATTGTTCTACATCTCTAAAAAGGTAGATATATAGAGACTGAGGCCTACTTTTGATTATAATAAATTCAATTATAATAATGCTACCATTTGTATTTGGTTCTAAACTAATTTTACATTTTTTTTATAGTACATAATTGCGCATTGGATCTCCATCTAACCTGATGGTAAGTGACGATAAGGTCGATGATGGAGCATGCACAGAATGCTCACCTAAATAATGCCTATTTACTCTCGCCCTGAAAAGGCCTAAAAATGTAGAAGCATGTAAAATGAAAAAAAAGAAGAATGAAAAATGTAGAAGCGCAGCGCTTTGTGCGAATTTTCGGAATATCCACAACATAGAGGTGGAACCCGAACCACATCTAGACCCCTGGTGATGGAAAGGGGTAGGCGGAATTAAATTGTGCAATTACATTTCAATCTCCTTGATATATCATGTTAAATACCATTAGCAGGCCAGTGTCGTAGCGTCGTTGCCATTGTGTTGTTCAGGATGTCGTGTGTCCAATTAGTGGAATTTATTGTCGTAATTCTTTCTCTACGTGGTGCGATATTTCCGCCGAGTTTCGCAGGGTGGCGTCCTTTCTCCTCTCTTATTTCCTTTGTTTATTAACTCTATCACACAATCCCTCACTACTTCTTATCATCTTTCTGCTGATGACCTCCAAATTTACACCCAGTCATTTATTCAAGACTTACCACGTGCAATTATTATTACCAGTGTGGACCTTGAATCCATTCGTCAATGGAGCCAGTCCTTTGGCCTTAAAGTTAACCCGTCCAAAACACAATTGATTATTATAGGTAGCATTTGGTTCAATTCTCGTTTAAATCTAGACCCCTTACTCCCTGAGGTTTTCGATTGTGTCTGTATTCCTTATTTGGACACAGTCAGGAATTTGGGAGTAATTTTTGATAAATGTCTGACTTGGAAGTCGCACGTTGCTGAGGTTAGCAGGAAGGTGTTTGGTCCGCATTTCTCTCTGAGAAGGCTTAAAAACTTTTTACCGACTAAAACTAAAATTACTCTGGCCCAGAGCATTCTCCACCCGATCCTGGACTATGCAGATGTTTGCTACCCGGATTTGTCACTCACTCTGCTCAATAAATTGGAACGGCTCCAAAATAAGTGTGTTAGGTTTATCTTCGGACTTCGTAAATTTGACCATGTCTCCCAATTTCGCGCACAACTTAAATGGCTGCCCGTCCATCGGCGTAGCGATCTTCATATCCTTTCACTTCTCTACTCAATTCTATCTCTTTACGCCTTTTTATCTTAAAGATCGCTTTACTTTCCACTCTTCTACACTCGCCGTCCCCTTCGCTCCTCTGATACTCTCATACTAAACTTCCCCTATCATACCTCTAGCTTTTATTCCAACTCTTTTACCATTTCGGCGATCAGATTGTGGAATTCTCTCCCTGAATCGATTCGACGATCCCCTTCTCTTGATTCCCTCAAACAACGTGTCAAGGATCAATTCCTCGACTCCTCCTCTACTATCCTTTCATTTATTTCCTACATTTATACTTCATTTTTCTTTTTCCTTTAAAAGTATATAAGCATTTAATATTATTGTGTATTTATTGTTATATATGTATTAATATTATTATTATTTGTATGTACATATATATCTACGTACATGTATATATTTTTATTATTACTTATTATGTAGTGTACTTATGATGATATTCTTTGGTTGCACCCCTTTTTGTATATTCGAAATGTCAGTCTTAATATTGCCTGGAAGAAATTGCTATGCTACATAGCAATAAGGCCGCCTGTTGCACATTAACTTACTACTACTATTATACTTAAGAGGGAGCAGAGGAAAAATTCCTAATCTTCGATTTGATTTTAAAGGGGTATATCCACTTTAAAGTTAAAAATAAAATATTGTATGAGAATAATATTTTATTTTAAGATAATCAGAAACATAAAACAATAAAATTTCCTCGATAGATAAAAATCACGAAATGACCTCTAATTTTCACATTTTTTCGATTTATCCTCGAAATGCTTATTAGGACAAAAATTAGATAATTAATTATATTTATGCATGATCGACAACGGTCACTACGGATTTTTTAAATCCCTTTAGTTTTAGGTCAATGAGTTTTAGAGTTATTCCGCTAAAACGAATTTGGTACTTTTAATGCGCAAAATTCAACATCTCTTGTCGCATGTCACGCGAACTTCAGGCATATATTTGTTTCACAAATTTGGGCTGAGCCAACGTCAAAACTTTTTTGGCATGAGAGCTCTTACGCTATTTGTATTGTATTTTAATTGTAATTTTATGTACAATAAAGAATATTTCATTCATTCATTCATACTTCGGTATCGGTTGCAATCAAAACGGCGAGGCCTTAGGGTTTGCTGTTGTTCGTTTGGGTAGCTCGGGACTATTTTAAAGTTCTATATAAAACATAGTGTCCCGAAACATAGCCTCCCAGTGGGCGCTGAAGACTCCTAGGGTTAGGGGCCTTTATGCTGGGAAGGGGCGTTGATGCTCTCCAGCGGGTGCTACCGCTTTTGAAAAACAAAACCTGAATTATCTATATAAAATACACTACATATATATATTTTTTTCTTGTGATTTTTTTTTGTGTTAATATAAAAAATACGTGTTTTCAATTATTTTTTGGGGTGGCGGGCGTTGAAATTTTTTTGTCTTGGCTAAGTGGGCGGTGAGCAAAGAAGTTTGGGAACTTATGATATAAATCGTCACACACTCAGTATTATTACGTTCTTTAACACTTTAATAATACTGACTGCCAGACAACCTATCTGGTTTTCTATTAAACTATGGATTCCAGAGCAACGGAATTAATTTCACGAAATAGTTCTATGAACACCGAGAGCAGAAAACCAATTTAGAAAAGTAAATTTTTCAAATTAGTTCCTCAAGGAATCTTTCTATCCGCGTCCTCATTCAGCGCCCACAGTCTCAACTGTCGGGCCACCGATGTTGTAAACTTAGAGATTAATTTATCGGCAATTTCAGGGTGAGCATTACCAAATTGGAAATCACTTAAAAATAAAGCAAGTCATCGAAGACCGATCGTCAGAAATAGTTCAAATATGTATTTGGAAGTGTTATTTTATTATGAATCGCAGTCACGGTATCAAGTTACCCGAAGAATGTCGTCTAGAGTGATATTCTTTAGACTATCATGTTACATTGGAAATACCTGTAGGCTGTTTGTTGAAGGTAGCAACAAAAGGTATGTGAGGAATGTGGACATCACTGCGGGGAGTGACAGCATTCCTGTCTTGGTAGTCTATTCTGCCGTGGAAGGCCACGACCAAAACATTGCTAAAACCTAAGTTCGTTCAAGAATTATCGGTCATAAAATAACACTACATCCACTTTACAAGGATGAGGTCCTTATAAAGTGGATGTAGTTTATATCTGGATAAGTAACATAAAAAATGTGATTTTTTTTTACAGTTGCAACGAATATTAGGTTAGTAGTATTGATTCACATTCGGCCGAATACCGAATAGCTAGGAGAGGGAGGTAGAAACAAGAAAAAAAGCAGTAAATAATCAGGTAAGTTTTATTAAAGCTGAAAATGCCGACAAGTGTAAGTTTGCGACAGCGCAATTTTTCGGCTGTTTATCTAAAAGATCAAAGAAAATATAACTAATTTCTTAGGTTTTCGCGATTGTTACACATAGGAAATGATACTATTTTTCCATACTATTAACTATTTTTTATAAAAATTCATTCAATAAAATAATTTGTAAAACTTAATGTAGCGTAAGTTGGAATGTTTTCTTTGTAAAATTAAAAATAAGGTATTTAATTAATAACTATTGTAACTATAGTGAAAAAATAGGGTGGTTTGCATTAATATTAGGCATAACTGGTTGCAGACTGTACCACCTTAATCAACCGTAACCATGGGACCTGTAAAGGGCCCGAAACGTCGGTTTGTTTGAAAAAACAAATATACGCGATTTAAGACCCGAAAAATAGTTTCATTTCCTATAAAATATAACTAAGTTATTTTTCTAAGAGATCCAAAAAGGTACCAAATCAAATGAAACTACCTGCTTATTATGTAGTTTTCTC